GAGAGAGAGAGAGAGAGAGAGAGAGAGAGAGAGAGAGAGAGAGAGAGAGAGAGAGAGAGAGAGAGAGAGAGAGAGAGAGAGAGAAGGAGAGAAAAGGTCTGAAAACCCATTTTCTACCTCTCCGAACGAGCATTTTCCAGCCTGTGAAAGATCCCCCAAGAACCCTGCTCCTCATTTCTCCAAAGAAAGGGTATCCTTTCCCTTCTCCGCCACCCAAGAAAGACCCGTAAGCGAAGCCATTTGGCGAACACTCAATCCACCCAAAACCGCTGTTTACGTTGCAGTATTACCCCTACACACTTTGCATGAGAAGACTTTCGCAGACTGCTTGCACAGGGATCGCCGTTGCAGAATCGAAGAGACGTCACAACTGAAAAAAATGTTTATGACTGAATGCGCCAATGACCGAAGGAGGGAGTCGAGTGCAATGAACAAACACCCAAACTAAATCCGTCCATGGGCGCTTTTCTCACAGGCTAGACCAAAGCAAACTTCGCAGGTACGCCAACTGCTCGGACTCCCCGCGCAGCTCATCCCACTGCATCACCCATCAAACAGGAAAAACATTGCCACAGAAATGTCCGTCCGGTCCGCCAAAGCGTCGATCAATCCAACCGTCACCCCAAAGCAACAACAACAACAAAAAATAATCCCAACCATCAGTGCCATCACCGTATTCCTCTACAACCAAAAGCATCAATCACCGCAACCATCGCCGGATTTCGCAAGGAAAAAAAAAAAAAAAAAAAAAGCAAACACCATGAGGTTCAGTCATCACTCATGTTGTTTACACTCTTTGTATTTCGGCGTAAACTAGACGAGGTTACGCTCAGAGAAGTACACTCAAAGAAACAGCAAAAACGTTTTCGGCGCATGTTCGAAGTGGGGGTGCTCTTTAGTCCTTTGTTTTTTTTGTAAGGTAGAGTACCGTTTCCATCTTTCCACAGAGTACAGATGTCCTGCGGTAAGAGAAGAGTCCCACGGAAAGATGGATCGCCACGAAAGGTTCACATGAGACCGTCTGGGTATGACGATTCCACACGCATAGAGTAAGATGGATTGCCATGAAGGTGAGCAGACACACACCTTATCAGTGTTTTGTTTTCACATTAATATCCGCCCAGCACAACGTGGATGCAGTGTAGATGATATCCCAATACAACGCAAAGGACGTGCAGACTACTTGACCACAGCAGAGTCCAAATGAAGAATCATAATTTGTCGGCATACACCATATCAGGCATAATCTGTTGGCATACATTATCAGTGTATCATCGTACGGAAAGCTTCGCCAGGTACAC